CTGAATATTTAAAAGATGAATAGGCATGATGATGTCGGGAAGGATGGACAAACAAAAGGATAGATGAAATGATGGAGGGAAGGAAGGCTAGTTGGAGGGAGGGAAAAGCAGAGGGAAGGCTGAGGGAAGGTTAGATGGAAAAGAGGAAAGACTGAAGGATGTTCAGAGGAGTGAAGAAAGGAGGGGCAATGAAAAGAGGAAGAGGAGCAGGGAGGAATTAACAAAGGAACAAATGGATACTAAGTAGAAAACCAGATTTTTGGAAAACCTTTTAACCTCCCTGTGTCTCAGTTACATTATGCATTAAAGGAGGAGGTGATCTGTCCTTGACGTGGAGGTTTTTCTAGGGTATGAAATGAATTGTTTATTCCCTCTGTTGGTGTGAACTGCTATTATGTTGGTAATAAAGCCAATTTTATATTAAAACAAATTATAGCATATGTTTTATGTATTCCATTGTTGTTTTGCAAGTAAATACATAATATTCTGGATACTTAACATTTTAAGAAACCTGTATTTTTCTCAGTCTAAAAGGTAAAATAAGTTGTAATGAGTAGTCTATTACTTGATAGATATTTCTTGAATATGTGAATACCTCAAGGCACGTTGCTTTTAAAAGACCTTGGATAGATTCCATTTCCTTATTTACAAAAATACAGTTGAGCTAAATATTTTCTAAGGTCCTTTTTATATTATATAAATATTATAACTTTTTTGGGGAAAGGTAGTTAGAAAGGAACTAATGCAAAATAAGTATTCAGGTTGCCTTAAATATTGTCTTACGAGGCAAAGTAAAAATAAATAAATATACACATGTAATGTTCTGTATGTCAAATGAATATAATTGAGATCTATTTTATCCACAGAGTCTCTCTTCCAGCTTCTTTTGGAAATCACTGTTCGAAGCACTGGGATGAATGACAGCACGGGGCAGTCTCTGACAGCACTTTCCTGTGCTTGCCTCTTTAGTCTGGTGGCTTCTTGGGGAGAAACAGGAAGGACACTTCAGGCCATCTCTGCTATCCTCACCAACAATGGCAGCCATGCTTGCCAAACTATTCAGGTATTTCATATTTATAGCTGCTTAGAAAGTTATAAGATGCCAAATTGTAATTTCATCTCAGTTTCTGTCAGTAGGAATTCCCTGCTATTTCTCACTTAGGACTGTGGTTTGATCTGTCCAAGGTTGATATATAAATAATCTACAGCATTTGAACTAAGCTACATGTGTGTTTAACTTTATAGCATTAAAGGTAATAAAGTGAAATTTGGCAAAAATGCAAATCATTAGCTTAGTTTTGTGTCAGCCTCATCTTTCTCTGCATTGTCTTGCTCTCTGCCTTTCCCCACTTCCCATCTTGCCCTGAATTTTCAAGTATGGAATTCCTTCATAGTTTCGACACATCTTTTCCCTGTTGAAAGAAAAAGGTATATTATGATTGTACTATATTTTTGATTGGTTGATTATAGTTTTTCATGGATTGATTTGTTCCTTAGCTACTTCAGCTTCGCATATAACATTTTCAACTTTTAATATTTGTGGATTAAACTCATCATCATTGTTAGTGGTGGGAAATATTGTCCTCCTTATAGGCAAACTTGATTTAATTCTTTGGGCTGTTCTGNTGGCCCTCATGTGGGATCTGAACCAGGGTCCTGCTGCTTAGAGCTGGCATCCCAAACCAACTCTTAACCAACGCACCACTCGGCCAGCCCAATATACCTACGTTTTAAAAGAAGAAATCAAAGTGTAATTCAACATTTGTAGTAGGTCATTGAGAACTATTACAGTACATCCAATGCCCCTTAGAAAAGCACCAAATAAATATTTTTTGATACTGCAGCAGTTAAGCTGTGCTGGCTCTATTCCTGTGATGGGATAAAAGGATGTTCCTGTTAAGCTCTGTGCCTGCCTCTTTCCAGCCCTTGTCAAGTTGGTTATGCTGTTACTCAGGAAGTAATGAAGTATAGTAGAAAGAGTACTATAAGTTGAGTCAATAGGTTTAGATTGTCTTTGCTCTGCCAATTATGTGACTTCTGTAAGTCATCTAGCATGTGTAATTTTAATCTTTCATTTTTTATTTAACATGAGAATTGATGATAGAAAGGAATATGAAATTGAAATATTATCTTTTGTATTTCAGTCTGAAAACTTGGAGAATACGGTAATCATACCAGATATCAAACTACATAGCAATCCTTCTGCATTCAATATATATTGCAATGTACGCCATTGTGTTCTGGAATGGCAGAAAAAGGAAACATCACTGGCAGCTGCTTCTAAGAACTCTGTGCAGAGTGGAGAATCAGATAGTGATGAAGAGGAGGAATCCAAAGAGCCCCCAATCAAGCTTCCAAAGGTAAATCACTAAGTTCCACTTAGGTGCATAACCTACGGGTGTTTTGGCTATAGTACATATTATTGCATTGCTAAAATAGCTTGCTTTTAATAAGATTTTGCACTAAAAGTAACATTGCTTATGAGTAAAAATAGATTTGGGGCAGAGTAGGAAAGCTCTGTGCAACTTTATAACTGCAGTGCTAACAAAGTCAATAATTGGAAACTCAGTGGGGAGTACTTGGAAAGCCCAGGCAGGGAAATCAGTGGGTTGGAGTCTGTAACGGGGGGCTATTAAAAATGTACAAAAGCAATAGAGTCGAAATGGTAGCTTGAAGGCATTGAGTCATTGCTGATGAAAGTGGAGCTCTGAGCCAGTGGGTTGCCATTAAGGTGGACCCAAGAGGAAGTGCAAGCTACCACAAGCCAAGAGCCACGGAAAGCTGAGGTGCTCCCCTCTCGGGAGGGAGCTCTGGGTACAGGTGTACATTTTTATTTTTTTTGAAATAGAGCTGGAAGGGCTCCTGACTGTGCTGCAGCTGAGCTGAGAGCTTTCTCCTCTTCTATACTCTTGCTGTTCTGGCTCCCCTTGCCTTGGAAAAACTATGAACCAACAAAACCATCCACATTGTTCTGCTATCACTCCCTTATTTACCAGAGGAATGTAAGCTAATTGATGTTATAGAAACATGTATTATAGTAGAACAAACTTAAGGTACTCTGTTCTATTTAAGTATTGGTATATTTCAAGACTATAATGTTATTTTATATATATTTTTTTCTATATAGTAGGTGTAGTTAGTATTTCCAACAGAAGAATGGGTGCAAATAGACATTTTTTAAATGGTATCTTTATCATAAATGATTTATGCATATTGCGTTTTTGACATTTTTAAATGATTTTCTTTCATAAATGATTCATGTGTATTGCCTTTTTGCTAAACTAATACCTTAAAACTATGCCTTGAAAACGTCTTTACATATATACACAAAATATCATGTAAATATATTTTTTTATTACTTGGAACTAGCAGCCAAGATAGAACCTAGGTTCCTGATCTGATTTCTGTCACACATTTCATGATGGCTATTCCTAAGTGCACCGCTGTCCTTAATCAGTACTGTCAGGTTCTTCTCACCTGATTTTCAGCAGATGACTTGCTTCCTATTTCATAGGGTAATAGAGGTTTTGTGACCTTCCTTCTTCAGCCTCTTAACCAGCCATCTTCACATGTCCTTTATCTCCGCCTCTTGGCACCCCTCTCCTTTCCTTAGCCCCATTCTTTCTAGGGTCCTTAATTGTACCTTCTCAACTAGCTTCTTTTTTCAATTTAAAACAAATTGGCTCATCTTTCCCATGCGAGCCCCTCTAGGTAGATAGAGATCGTGGTCTCTGATTCTGATTTCTTATGCTTAATTAGGGGAGGTTGAGAGAAACTATATTGCTAAGTTAGGATATGAGGCTGCAGGACTTATGTAGAATACTTTGATAAGAATTCCATTGTATGTGTGGGCGAGTCACACAATACTAATCACCCAGCTTAAGTTGAGTATTGGGAATGAAAATAAGGACCCAGAGAAATCTTTCACACAGGTATACAGATTTTGAATAGTAAACTGTAGTTTAAATTAAAAGTTATTGTACAGTCAAGAACAACCAATTCTTAGATTGGTTTTAAAGAATTAAAGAAATAAAATAGATATTTTTAAGACTTTTTTTAGCATCATTAACAGTGTCAAAAGATGCAAAGTCAAAAGGGGATCTTTCAAAGACTATTAAAAGAAAACCAGATAGCCCAAATAATAAGTTTTTCATCAAGTACTTACTCATCAGGAAACAGGATATACTGATTAAGAACATGGGTAGTGAAGTCAAACTGCCTAGGTTCAGACACTCACCATTAAAAATAACTAGCTTTATGGCCGGCTGAGTGGCTCAGTTGGTTAAGAGCTCGCTCAAGAGTTTGAGCTCTGAACAATAGCGGTTTGATTCCCGGTCCGAGCTGAGCAGCCACTGAGCTGCCAACAGGTGGCAGGATGGCTCAGCTTAAAAAAAAAACAAAACTAGCTTTGTTAAACTGAGGAAATTATTTGACCTCTCTGTGTCTCAGTTTTGACATTGATAAAATGGGGATAATACTTATTCATAGGGTTGTAGTGAGGTTTCAGTGAATTAATAAATGTGGAATGCATGCCTGCTCAATAAATGATAGCTATAGTTGTATCAGCTTAGGTGCAAACAAAAAAATGTGTAGGTGCAAATGAATTTGAGTTACTTTTTGAGGAACTCTTCAATTTATTAAGACATACTTTATATCCAAGGAAATGAAACTTCTGGACGCCCAGTGAGATCATGTGATGAACGGGAGAGGAAGAAGGGATGAGATTATGCAGAGGTAGTAGAATGCTATGGGTTAGGGCACTGCTGGGGAGTGCAACCTTCAGGTGATGTTTTTGGCAGCCATCTCAGTATTGACACAAAAGAAGAGATGATGAGGTCTTTAGGGTTTGAAGTGATGGGAATTTGAGGGCAGATGGGAAATATTGACATTTTCCTTTGACCATCTGTGCCTCTGCTCCAGATGGTACTCTTTATGTTGGTTCCTTCCTTTTCTTTGTTGTTCCTCTCTTGCTCCTCCTGCATGTGTGGTTGTTGCTTTCCTGCTCTTCACCTGAGGTTTCTTTTGCTAGATACTGAGTAAAATTTTTTTGGTCCTGATGAGGAATGGTAAGATAATTAAAGTAAAAATAACCGTGATCTTTTAGCTAGGCAGTTTTAAACTCCTTTCATGATAAATTCTACAAGAAGAGACACCGTCTATAAATAATAACATGATGATTGTACCATTATAGGAAAGGCTAAGATGAAAAGCTCCTACTTTAATCTTTTCACCGTGTGTACTGTGTTGACTTTTTTTCTGGTTATAGGTAACAGTTAACATGACTATTAACCAAAGAATGCTGATTTTTGCTTGAGCACAGCCAAATGAGCTTTGTAAATGAATAGTTTATTTTTTTTTGAGTGAATGCATTCTACTGGGGGTGCCAAAAAAATGTATACAAGTGGACACGTGGGTCAGCACTGCTCAAGCAGTAGTTCGCCGTAATCAAGTGTCTGGATGCTGATGGTAACCACTTTGAACACCTCTTGTAATTGCAGAAGTCAAACGTGATTTGTATTCATCTTTTGTTATTGGTATATATGTATCAAGTAGTATAATTTTAATACAGTTTTCCTTTCTTAAAATGTGTATACATTTTTTTGGCACCCTCTGAATATCCAGCTCACTGATAAAAACAATTTTCATGATATTTTATTATGGCTTTATTATGCTAAAACCACTTTTTAAACGGGTCACTAGTTTTTAACCTTCCATGTAACTGGATGGTTTTCTAAATCTTGAAGTTAAACATACTGGGTTTTCTTTTTTTTTAATTTGTGTCCTTTTTGTGTTTTGACTTTTAGATATTGCAACCTTAATCATTTGCTGTGGAAATAGTCTGCATCAATTAAACTGCGTTGGAAGTGTTATTAGCTTACATGTTATAAGGTATAATGTTGTTTTTCATCTTAAATAGATCATTGAAGTTGGACTTTGTGAAGTTTTTGAGTTGATCAAGGAGACGCGATTTTCTCACCCATCACTGTGCCTCAGGAGTCTCCAAGCCCTGCTTAACGTGCTTCAGGGTCAGCAGCCAGAAGGCCTCCAGTCAGAGCCACCTGAGGTTCTAGGTAAGAGCGCAGGGGCATTGAATGACGCTGTTAATGTAAACAGCTTCTCTTGCGAAGCACATACAGATGCCTATCATGCAGTCTTTGTTTAATTAGGTACTGAAACAGCAGGGATATAAATTTTAAGGTATTTTGCTATGTTGTACTGGAGGTATGGTTCAAGAGTTACAGTTCATGCACAGATATATTTTGATTATTGTAATGATGGGGAAAAAACAAAACAAATTCTAGGCACCCAGAAATATCCTCAAGCCTTATAGTCACTATTAACTTTAATGTTCTTATTAAACCTTTGGCCAGAATAGCTAACATTGATTTTCTGTAACCCTAGATGTCACTCTGGATAGTTAAAAAGGTAGGAAAAAGGGAACAAATGCTACCAATGGAAACTAAGTTTCTAAACAAAGAGGACTTTGTTTTGAATTCATCATAAATTAGAATTGATTTTTGTTATAGATAAAGCTTTTGAATTAGTGGTAACTTCTATTAAGTAAAAATCTGCTTTTTGTAAAGTGTATTTGAATTTTATGAATACAGATCTCATGTTTGTGACCCAGGTGCAATACATACTCCTGTAAGCAGCATAGGCTCTCGTAAAGAATAGAAGTAGAGATGAAGGCGTAATTTTGAAATTGGCTAATTGCTTTTCTCTGATGCTAAGCATGGGCCTTTGTCAAAGAGTGTAGACTTTTCTAAATCAAGCATTAGCTTGTATCAGAGTGAGTCACATGGGCTCTACCTGTGGAGTTTCTGACTCACTAGATTTGGGTTATGGCTCAAGAATTTGCACTTGGAATAAGTTTCTGGGTGATGCTGATGCTGTTGGCCTGGAGACCACACTGCTGGTCTGGACGAGAGTTTGGTCCTTTTTCTCTACTTGCCTATTTGGATTTTATTAGACTCACATGTGAGAACCTAATTACATGTTAGATTGTTCTTTTTTTGGTCATAGATGATGACTGGTTTTTGTGTTTGATTTTTGTTTGTTTGTTTAAGTAGGGAAGGGGAGTGCTGGCCATGAAAACAAGCTGAGGATTTTTAAAACCAACCCATTCAACATCCCCAACCCCCATCCCATGTTAAATGCTACTACCAAACAAAAGCTGTTATCCTCATTGGTTCTTAGCACCAGTGATTGTGTTACTATTGATGCACTAATGCACCTCTTGGCTTCATGGCATTTACTGAAGATTTTAATTAATTAATTTTATTTTAGAGTATTTTGCCAGATATTCTTAGCTCTGGTTTGTCAGTCAACAAATAATTGAAATATTTAAAATATCCACTAAAACCTGTGTATCCTGTTTCTTATGCTGAATAACATGCTAATCATTTATTTCCTCCTAGATGTACCATTCTGTTGTCTTCTATCAGTTATTCTACACTTTCTTCTGTATCCAGCCTATACATAAATATTCCCCTTTTTTATTCTTTACAAAATAAATAGATCTTTTCTTAATACTGATTTTTGAAATTATGATGTGTGCTTTAGATTAACCTTCTATGGAAACTTTCACTTGATTAGTTTCTTTTTATTTATTTATTTTAAAATTTATTAGGGTGACAATGGTTAGTAACATTACATATGTTTCAAGTGTACAATTCTGTATGTAATACATCATCTATACAGAGGGAGCCCAAAAAATATATACTTATTTTAAGAAAGGAATAAACTGGATTAAAATTGTAATACTCAATATATAGCTATAACAAAAGATGAATACAA